AAAAGCGGCCTCTGCCCGGGAACGGGCACCGCGGAACCGCGGAGCTCTCTGGAACCCCCAATCGCGCTCGTAGTAATTCCTCAGAACCGGAGCCCGGGGCTGCGCTGAGCCTGTTCCCCGGGTTCTGCTCAGCGCTCGGAGCTGCCGCCTGGGCTGAGTCAGTGAAATGCTTTTGAACACGTGTTGCTGCAGCGGCACTGAAATTCTGCCACTGCTGCGGGGCCATTTGTGATCTGTGAAACACAACAAAGCTTTTCTGAGCCGTTTGTAGAATAAAATTTGGGTAGGAAACAGCTTGGCATTTATTTCATCCGAGGCTTTCTCAGTGCCCATCATCCGGATGGGTATGTACATAACAGCAGGTGACTTAATGGAACGACTTAAGCTGCTCACTGAGTGCTAAGGGGATGTTGGGCCTCGCTGCCTTTGCATGTTTACCAAAATTCGTAGGGTGGTTTTCTCTGTGTCTGACTTTTACTGATAAAGATCTGCTGGGCTGGCACCAGGCCCCAGCAGATAGAGCAGAGGTTCTTGCTGAGACCAGAGACAGCCAGGGCACTGCTCTGTGTGACTGCAGGGGGAACAGCTGAGAGCCCTTTGGGGGAAGCCTCTCCCACTCCCTGTGTGCTCATGGTGTCACCCACAGGCTTGCAGAATGACCACAAGGCCGTGATGAAGCAGGTGGAGGAAGCTCTGCACAAGCTGCACGCCCGGGAGAAGGAGAAACACGCCAGGGATGAGGCAGAGGCCTTGGCCGAGGCCATGAGCCAGAGCCAGAGCCTGCCCCAGGCCTTTGCCAAAGTGAACTCCGTGAGCCCCGGCTCTCCCGCCAGCGTCTCGGTACGTGGGGCACAGCTCGTGGGGACGGCTTTGGCTGGAGCCAGGCAGCTCAGGCTCCCTCTGCCTCATGTTAATCAGTGGGAATAAGCTGGGGCCTTGATTAGGGTGTCAACCCTTCTTTTTGTCATGTTGGGATGTCCTGTGAAGGGGCTGGTCACCGTACAGGGATGAGATGGGTGTTCATTCTCTGAGCTGTGTCCTGGCACCACAGTTCCTTCCACACCTCACTGACCATTCCAGCCTCGGTATTTCTCTTCCCATGAAACAGAGGAATGAACACTCACCTCTCCCTGTGGCTGTAGTGATGTTCACTTGCCTGGGTGTGAGAGGTGTTGTAGCACATCTCTCTCCCTGTGGCTGGGTGAAGGGTTTGCTCCCGTCTTTGGAGAATGCAGACGCTCATCTCTCTTCTTTCTCTGTCCAGGGACTTCAAGTTGATGATGAGATTGTGGAGTTTGGATCTGTCAATGCAAACAACTTCCAGAACCTGCAGAACATTGCCACGGTGGTGCAGCACAGTGAGGGGGTGAGCTCATTCCTGCTGTGGCTGCATTCTCTTGCCTGTCTCTGTTAGCCACAGCTCTTTCTATGGAATTTGGATCTCTGGAATCATAATTTCCCTGTCAGAAACAGTGTCAGATTCAGTCTGTGCTGCTGTAGCCTTGCTCTCTCACAGCACTGAGCTATTTGCTCATCAGTGGAAGAGCTGAGAGGTGTGAGTGTTGTTTGTTCTCCCTGGGGATTCCCTGCAGCAGCACTGCTGTGCCACCCTTCTGGCCTGGCCAGAGAAGCTGCCACAGCCATTAAGTGCTTGGTGGTGGAAGTGAGGGATCTCCTGGAGATGACTTCACACAAAACACTCCCTTCTTTCAGTTATGGCCACAGGATGGGGAGTGGGCACTGCTGCAGAACAGTTCCTTGGGCTTAATGTTCTTTGTGTGCTTCAGCAAAAGAAGGAAGAGAGTTGACTTTGTGATGGAAAAGTGAAACATTTTGGTTACTTTTCTATTTTTTCCTCTCTTTCAGAGACCCCTGAGTGTGACGGTGATCCGTGGGGGCAGAAGGGTGCACGTGGGGCTGACTCCAAAGCGCTGGGCCGGGAAGGGCCTCCTGGGGTGAGCTACTGTTTCACTTGCTGGAGGGAAGAAATGCTTTCACCAGCTCAGGGCACATTTCCTGAGCAGGGCCAACCCTGGCTGTGTCACTGCCCACTGTCACAGACCTCACAGGTGGGCACCAGGGAGCTGGAGGCTGCTGGTGCTGCACAGGGATACAGGGAGTGCAGTTCCATCAAACATGAGCACAGGCAGGAAGGTCTCAGTGGCTGGTTTGTCTGGGAAGCCAGTGGAGGAGGGTTGTGGTGGGTCTGAGCCATGCCATGCCAGGTCTTCTGTGCCTGTCTGAGAAATGAAAATTTAATATTTCCTCTTACCCTCTTCTTTTTCAGCTGCAATATCATTCCTTTACAAAGATGACCATGGCTGGGAGAACAATAAAGCTGAAGCTTGTTCCTGCTTTCTGGACTCTGATCTGGTTTGAAAACGTGATGTTGCTGTGACCTCTGGTGCCTGGAGGGTTCTGGCAGAGTTCTGCAGTTCAGAATTGCACTGGTTGTCAGGAGGAACCTGCAGAGCTGCAAGATGTGGCTTCCCATCTCTTCCACCTTGTCTCAATTTAGAATAAGGCTCTAGAGAGACCCAAATCCCACTTGATACATGCTCCAAAGAGCTTGAAATGCTATTTTTTGTTGATAACAGAGCATTCCTTTTTTCTCCCCTTTAAAACTCCTCACTGAATATAATGTAATATATGCTAAAAAGTCCTAGAGCACTTTTTGATGCCTGTCATAGTAGATGACAGACAAGAGATGTGCAAGTTTGATACTTCATCTTCCCCATATTGCCACAACTTTTAAAGTCACTGAACATGCTGAAAGGACTTTTGGAATGCCCAGTTATTTAACACAATGAGGTAAAGAATAGGGGTTATAATTCTACTTTTGGAACTTCTAGTACTTTATGTAGTCATGATAAGAAGACTCCTAGCTTCTCTCTCTATTTTCTTTTAATTTTTAAAAAAATTGTTTATTTGCAGGAGTTGATTTTGGGGTGTTTTCCTGGTTCCAGCCAGGACAGGGTTCACCTTTTTGTGCCCCCCATTCTCCTCCATCCTGCTGCAGGAGCAGTGGGTGGCACAGGGTCTGGGGTGTTTTCAGAGGGAACACTAAATTGGGGAACACCATTCCTAAACCACCACAGGTGCATAAACTCTTGGAAGGAATTCTGGGAATTACTGGATTGTTTAAAGCTTATTTCCAGCTGAACTTTCAGAATAGTCTCCCAAAACAATAAAACTGAGTATTGCCTCTCTCTGTTCTCATAGAAGTCATTATTTGGGGCAGCCTCTCTGGGTCAGGGAGATAATGGGAGCTGATAACAAATCTCCTTTCCGCTCCCAGCAGGGTGTGAGGCTCTTTCTGGGCAGAAGGAAAAACAAATTAACTTAAGAAATTGTTATTATTTGAGCTTAACAGCAAGGCTGAGGTCAACAGCTGGGAGCGTTTGGAGCTGATTATCTACAGGGGTGCAGTGGGAGCCTGGAGTGAGCCCTGGGAGCGGGTTCCCTGTGCAAGTGCCTGGGGACTGTGGGGGACTGGCAGGGCTTGGGGGATGATTTTTCTCACTTTGACTCTGCTTGTCCTGCTCAGGGAAGCCACTGGGGCAGAGCTGCCTGCAAGTCCTTGTGGGGGGCATCGGGTAAAGATCCCCCATCCCATTCCTGTGGGTTCGGTCCTGAATGGCTCCGGCGATGCCAAGAGGGGCTTTGTGACAGCCACGGGCGGGATTTGGGCTTGGGCAGGGTGAAAGGCTGAATGTTCCCTCCAGCGCTGCCTCTTCCTGGCAGCCGGTGAGGATGAGGAGGTTCCCCCCCCGTTTCCCGGTGCAGCCGGTGAGGATGAGGAAGGTTCCCCCCGTTTCCCGGTGCA